ATCGCATTTCTAATGGACAACGGAGTCGGGCCTCTGGTCTTATTAAAAAAATAACATTTTGAGCCTAGTTTTAAAAGTAGACAGGATGTCTGCTTTTATGGTGGTGGTGGGGGGGTAGTAAGTAATGACAGTTAAGAACCTGTTGATAGCGATAACATTAGATTTTAAGTTAATGAGCATTAGAACCAAATCAAATCAGCTTATAAAAACTGTAAAACAAAGATGTTTGACTTTATTTGATAATTTCTGCACTAACTAATACATGATATTCCGTATTCTTTGTATAATTGGTTGGATATGAAATCATATGTTATGTTTTTCCCGGTTTTTTCTCAGGTGGCTATAGAAACTTAATAAAGGGGTTTATTTGAGCAGAGGGACTATTTCTGCTAGGAAAATTGGTCAAGCTCACTTTGGACAAGATGTCTGTTTTTTTCACTTGACTTGAAAGATACCAAGGAGCAATTTAAAGCTGCTGTTTATGGATGTGCTCCACTTCAACACTCTTCTCCTCTTCTGTTGCAGCAGCTGACGGGCTCTCTGTTAGCCGTGGCTTTCTTGACCTCCTTCGGGAGCTCCATGCTGTATGGCTACAACCTGGCTGTGGTCAACTCCCCTGCTGCGGTGAGACACACATCCTCTCTTAAAGTCTATTCACATTAAGTTCAGTTTAAATCTCGAAATCACAACATGTTGCATCAGGTCTCCTTCAGATTATCCAGTCAGACTGGTGAACAGTATTTAATCTAAGGAAACCCAGCTGGCTGCATGCAGTTATGGATTTACAGCAGATCCTGATCTTCCTGGACGAGCATGTAGCAGCAGACAGTTGCTTGCACAGTATCAGTGACTTTGCAGCAAGTAACAGAAAGTCAACCAGAGGTTTTACTACATCTATTGAACGCATCATGTGTCACAGAACGATGCCAGCTGTTATGGAAAGCTCCATGGTTACACCTTGAAGCATTCCCTCTCCATTTTTTTTTCCTGAGAAGGGGTCCCTCAGGACAAACTCCTTAAATAACACTTCAAAATGTATTAAAAAAACAGGAGACATGACAACAGAAATTATAATCCTCTTCAGACGAGAGAAGTTGCTTAGAGTTACAGAAGGCAGCTGCTGAACAATCTGGATGGAGTGGCCCCGAATCACAGTTAGAAAAGCATTTCATACAACTCCAGTCTGCCACTTCATCACATCACCATCACATCATTAAATCATTACACGTTTGTAAATGAGGAGACATCCATGGCTCCAGCCTTATCGAAATATTACACTTTGTTCTTAGATCAAGGCTGCCGCTCTAATTCCATTCTCAAATCTTTTCAATGTACAGAATGAACTATATATTCTGGCAGAGGAACTTTCCTACCGTAATTAGATAAACTACTTGGGAAAACATTAGTTCTGACACAGAGGGCAGGTTTTACGGTTTAACAGACTCACACATCACCGATAATAATAATCCTAACACAGCTAAAGTAGCTTAGAACACATGCAAATTGAAACGGACAAACCCCAAAACCTTTATGGGGGAACAAAAGACCTCAGTAATTCAGGCAGGCCAACAATTCCCCTGTAACGGCTCCCCATGTAGAGACAATTTTGCATGTTTTCTAAACAAAAACAAGGCTTTGTTGGGCTACTTTATAAAACCTGGAACTCAACACTATTCCTGACATTTTTAATTGAAAAAGCTTCCTGGATGGGAAGAGAAACGTCTTCAACTTGGAAACAAATTCCAGTGGTTTGTTTTTTTTTTTAACTTTTTTGGAATGGCTATGACCTGGATGACTGAGATTCCTCACCAGCACATAACCGTAGTGTTAAATCCACGATGCATGATGTCAGTCAAACTGTGTTTTTCTTATAGCAATCCCAAATCTGTTGGAATCTGACCATGAAGTAACTCTGTGACCGGACAGGAAAATATCAGTCATGCCAGACATA